TACCAAACCTATTAAATGTGTTAAAATTTGCTGTATCTTTGAAACTATGCACTGGAATGTTAGATGAAGTTGTTCTTTGGAGTTGTTTTCTGACCTTGTTTTGGTCCCTAGTTAACTCAGCAGTGGGAATTAAGTCACTCCATCAGTCTGAATGGTGAAACATAAGCCCAATGCAAGCTGTTACAGGTATCTGTCGTGATGTGCTGTTCTTTGGTATTAATTGTCACTTCTTGAATGTCCTACCTCATTTTTTATTTCTCTTATTACCATTTCTACACTCCACTTAGCTAATTTCACTTTAATTAAAGCAGATGCTTGGTGTTGTTACCACAAATAGTATGTAGTGGCTTTCTGTTGCTGAACCACACCGAAGCCCTCTTCTTTTTCTAACGCGATTCTAGGAATTTCAGAACAATGACACATCCTTTGCAGGAGATGATACGTAAAACCTGTTACTGATTTCACAGAATCACAGAACTGTAGGGGCTGGAAGGGACCTCTAGAGGTCAACCAATCCACCCCCCTGCAGAGCAGGCTCACAGGACCAGGTTGCACAGGCAGGCATTCAGGTGCCTTTGCTTGAATGTCCCCAGCGAAGGAGACTCCACAGCCTCCCTGGGCAGCCTGTCCAGTGCTCTGTTACCCTCACTGTGAAGGAGTTCTTGCACACGTTTGTGTGGAACTTCCCATGCTTCAGTTTGTGGCTGTTTCCCCGTGTCCTGTCACCACGCACAGCTGGGAAGGGTCTGTCCTTGTCCCTTTGCCCCCATACCTTAGATAGATGTAGATGTTGATCAGATCCCCTCTGAGTTGTCTTTTCTCAAGGCTGAACAGGCCCAGCTCACTCAGCCTCACTTGAGAGATGCTCCAGGCTCTCTATCATCTTTGTGGCCTCTGCTGGAGTCTTTCCAGGAGATCCCTGTCTTTTTTGTACCAGGGAGGCCAGAACTGGATCCAGTGCTCCAGGTGAGGCCTCACTAGGGCAGAGTAGGGGGGAGGATCACCTCCCTTGCTCCTCTGGCCATGCTCTTTTTGACGCACCCCAGGATGCCATTTAACAGTTGTGACATCATTTCCCTTCCTTACCTTTTTCCATTTTAGAAAGGGACTTTCACTATTTGATTTCTCGATTTATTTTCAGTCCTTCAGGGGAGGAATAGTTTCTTCCTTGATAGCTGTGCCTTCTCTAGAGGCACATTAAGGTGAACTCTCCACTGAGGCATCGTTCCTTTTAGTGCACGTGCAGTGTTATCTTTGCCTGAAGCCAGCTGTTCCCTCTGGTTCTTCTCTTTTTGTTTGTGGAGAGCATGGAGAGATTTCTTAGATGTTGGTGTGACTTTTCTCACTGAAGACCAAGGTTGTACCATAAGTGGTAGCATCATCTGCTCTGAAATGCTGCCCTCAATAAGGCTGTGTGAATACTAAATGGGAAAACTATCATTTAGATTTTGTTTGGATTTGTTTCCTTTTATTGCATTTTAAAAATGGTTTGTTTTTTTACTGCTGTTTGGCCACACAATGGGTTCTGTAGTCTTAATAAAAATGTGCCAAAATGTTTTCCTGTCTATCTGCATTGTAACAGTGCTCGAAGCAGAACTGGACAAGAGTATTGATAGATTTGAACCCTTTCCATCCCTCCAGCTGCAGTGTTAGATGAATGTTAAAATGTTGGTGGTGGTGTGAAATCCTCCAGAAATTTCATCTGAAATCCCTTTTCAAAAGTAACTACGCTTGAACTGTTGGACCCCAAAAACTAAGGTGAACTCTGCGTGCATTCACACAAAGGCTTAATTTGGAATGTCTGGAAATACCCTTCCATTCTTTCCTATCTCTCCTTTAAAGGAAGTTCATTGGACAATAGGGAGAATTTTTCCAGGCTGAACTTAATGAGAAGGGGGCTAACGGGCCTGAGTCATCTACAGCTGCCAGATGCATCCATTTAAGTAAGGCACTACTCACAGCTTGGACACGGCTCCCTGCTGCTCTGTAGATGCGCTCGCAGGGTTGTGGTTTGGCATGCAGGACCTGTGCTTGGTGTAACATTGCTGACATTCGCTCTGTATGCAGGGTTGCTCGGGCAGCTGATCAGCAGCACCTCCACCGTAAGCACCGAAGGCTGCTATTGTTTTCTCTTGAGAGATGTGTAAGACTGGACACTTTAACAGAATAAAAGTTTAACTTTTTAATTTGCGTTTTCCTTTTATGTCTGCTTTCTTTAATTTGGCTGTGTGTGAAGGCGCTTCGCCCCTGGCCGCCTCGCTTCTCGGAAGACAGATGTTAATGATTGCTGCTGTTGTGTGGGATTGCTGCTTTACTCATCGCTTCAGCCCGTGTGGGTTATGGCATTTCTTTATGAATAAAACAAAGTAGATGTACAGAGATTCTGCTGAGGCCTGGACTGCCTTACACTTTACCATCGCTTTAACAGAGGGTTGAAACAATTTACACTGCCAATACAGGCTGTTGGAGCATTGATTGTCTGCCTGTAGAAACTCCGCTGGCTTTTCAGCGTGCATCTTGCTCTCTCTTTCCCTAGGAGAAGGATGGGGACTGAAGGCAGTGGAGAATGCTGCCTGTTGCCATGGGAATGGTGCCTTCAGCCAGCTGCTGGTAGCAGCCTGTAACTTTCAAAGATGGTTTGAGTTTCTGTGCAACTCATTTGTTATAGAGAAAGGTATTTCTCTTGTGTCCTGCCTTCCCTTGCTTCCTTTGAGGCTGTTTGACCACAGTGACGTTGTACCTACTTCAGTGACACAGAGCTGAAGTGGTGGAAGGCGCTGCTCTGTGCCACAGTTTATTGGCATTAAGTTTTTAATGGAATGCTTGGAAGGGCTGAGCTAAGAAAGGAGAGGACAAAACGCTTCCTGTCATCTAAGGCTCTCTTGGACTGGGGCTTCCTTCTGGCAAGGGGTCACCAGCACCTCAAGTCACTGAGCAAAAGGGAAGAATGAAAGGAGCCATCAGAGAACTGGTGGTGCTTGTTGGATCCCTAGGGAACGGGAGTATGGGGATGGAAAGGAGCTTTGGGGTGAAGAACTGATGTTTTTGCTGGGAAAAATGCAATCCAGATAATTCCAAATTTTCTGTGTAGCTCACTAAGGCGTAGAGTGAAGACCCAGTGTTACTGGAGCTATGATTTAGGTTTGTTACATACAGTTCTCTAGCCTGACCATACCAAAAACCAGTAGGTAGAAAACTCATGAAGAAAGTAACTTGTGTCAGACTGTGGATAACAGTGAGAGTGCTCTCAGTAGGGAACTCTTCTGTTTCTGAGGCTTCTGAGGTGGGGAGAAGAAGGGAAAAGGGCTGATTTCCCAGTTTTGTCTGAGCCCTCACTACTTCCTTGTTTAAACTTATGGGAAGAGAAGATATTTATGTCCTTTGTTCGCTTTTTTGGGGGCGTTATGTGGGGGTGGTGGTTTGGTTTTCCTCTTTCTGGAAATGCCTCAGCCTCAAAATAGGAGTGTGCCTGGAAGGTAGAAGGGCTGGGAGGCTCCTGAGAACAAACTGCTCCTGTAGCCACTGTGGTTGTGCCCTTGTTTGTGTGACTGCCTGCTGGCACTCCCCATGCCCTGCTTTGCTGTTGGGAGTGCTTTTTTACAATGCAATCCATAAACAGGGAAGCTGTGGTTTGCTGTCGTGCGTGTGAACTAGAGTGGCTTCTGGAGTCAGCACATGTGTAAGATGGGGAGTGGAGAAGATGGCATGCTAAATTGCTTGGAAGAAGATTACTGGAAATGAGAAGTGATGGTATGAATGACCTCAGTAACACAGGGGAAGGGTATGGGAATGCGTGCAAACAGTGTTTGTCTGGATTGCTGCTCCCCAAGCAGGGCTCCCCCTGAGTAAGGGACATGGCCTTACAGACAGCAGCTGCAGTAGGCTGGCTGTGTTGCCTTGTCTTTGTTTCGTTTTCCTACTGATTACACAGCATTCTTCAGAACAGCTCAGCTTCGTCATCTGGAGAAGCTCCTTAAACAAGAGGGAAGAACTATCTGATGGTTTTCTTTTTAGAGATATAGATGGATAGATACCTGCTCCCATGTAGCAGCGACAGGACGAGAGGTGATGGCCTCATGTGCTGAGGAGGTTCAAGTTGGGTGTAAGAACATTCCTTCTTGGAAGGAGTTGTGCTGCACTGGCACAACTGCCTGGGGAATGGTGGGGTCACCATCCCTGGGGGTGCTCCAGAGCTTTGGAGATGTGGCACTGAGGGATGTCAGTGGGCATGGGGGAGGGCGTGGGTTGGGGTTGGGGATTTGAGAGGTCTTTTTCAACCTGGGAGATTCTATGATTCTGTGCTCAAAATGAGATGCTCTCTAGTGAAAATCCTGAATTCTCTTTTCATTAAAAATAAAACACAAAGAAGGAGGGTGGGGGGTTGAATTGAATGGGTTTCCCTTACAGAATAAGGTATCTTTTTCCTGAACACCACCTGCTTCAGATGGATTTTCAGTTGCTAGCCAAGTGTGTTTGGAAACAACCTCCTTCCCAGCAGCAGCTGTGAATGAGACCAGCCGGTGACTCTGAATATGGCTGAATTGCTGGTGGAAGCCCTTCAGCTTTAGCACCCCTTGGTCTCATCTTTGTCACCTCCTGGTGGTTGGGCTCCTTCCTGGCAGGGCAGGGTCTGCTGGCTGAGCAAAGGGAACTCTGCAGGAGTTTGAGTTGACTGCTTGTGCATTTGTTTCTCTGTTCGGTGGCCCTTGATCTTTTCATCCTACCTGAATCTTACTCTGCTTCTTTAATTTACAACCGTGTTTACAAGTTTTTGATCTGGGTTATTAAACTAGCCATTTCTCCCTGGGGCTAAGCAGCAAATTGTGATCACAAAGAACAAACGCTTCCGTATAGCAGCACCGAGAGCTGGAGCACAGCTCCATCACTGAGCACTGGGAGCCAGCAGCCACGGAGAGGTCAGAGCAGGAGGTGGCTGTGCTGGCTCTGTGCTTGCATTTGTCACATGCTGCCCAAGGGTCACGTGCCGAGGTGGCACAGCCGTGCTGGTGGGACTGCGATGGCGTCTGTGACCCAACAGCAGATGCAGAAGGTAAGGGAGCAGCAGGCAGGGAACATACCTGCACCATTTGCAAGGCACGGGCGCTCCGTGCTGAACCAGTGCTCAGGTCTGGCAGAGATCTGCTTTGCACACACTTTGTATTCTGCTCAGCTCCGTGCACTGCTGTTCATTCTGAGCCTTGGAAACCCGCTGTGGGTGCAAACTTGCGGAGGGCTTGTATGCCCTGCAGAGCTCCTCTGAGAATTCTTCGGTGTCCTTCTGATTCCTGCTCAGCTGCCACTGCGAGGCTGAGATCTGTCCCTGAGGATAATCCCCGTGGTGTTCTATATAGGGAAGCAGTGCCAGCAGAGTTCGCCTCATTTCATAGAGGATTGTGTAGTCAACCGTGAGAGCCACCCAGGGATTTTTCCCTTAGAGAAAATCACTTTTTCTCCTTCTAGCTTGTAAAGGCATCTCCTCCTTATTTGGAATCTGGAAATGAGTGCTCTGTTTGCTTTAGCAGTATATGTAATTTAGGTGTTGTTGCTCATGTAGCTAAGATATCCTTAAACCATGAAGACTCAGCAATACTATCTACTCTGGTTTCTGGGTAGGGAGGTGAAATGTATTCCTCTTAATTCTATGGGATCTGAGCCTGTTTAAGGACTGATCTTTCTTGGTAATGCCCCTCTTGAACTTTAAAAATAAAAGAACAACACTTCAGTTTTGTCATTTGTGGATGAAAGAGAAACATATCAGAAATAGCCCAGGAGGAGGGCAGCCACCCCGTGTCCCCCTTTCAGTTCCATGAGGATGGTTTCCTCGTCCTGGAGCACTTCTTCAGCCCAGAGGAGTGTGACAGCATGAGGAGCAGCATCCAGAGGATCCTAGATGGGATGGAGGTGCCACCACACTGCCGGACTGAGTTCTCCACCAAGGAAGAGGAGCAGCTCCAGGCACAGGTACCTGCAGGGCAGGGCTGGTCCCATGCTGCCCTGGGACAGAAGGAGGAAGGCATTGGCTTCCCAGCTTTCTGCTGGTATTTGTTGGTAGTCCGTGTGTGCCAGGCTGGAGTCCTAGGGAGTGCCAAGAGGTTTAATGTTGAAAGAATGCATTCAGTATTTGTAGGAATGATTTCTGTTAACTGTACTTTGTTTCTGCTGCTGCTTGGTGGGAAAAAGATGCAGGTGAGTGTTATCTGTGATTGAAGGTTTGGCTGTGTGTTCATGATGATGCTGTCTTTACTGGGCTCTTCTCTCTGACAGGGCAGCTCGGATTATTTCCTCACCAGTGGAGACAAGGTCAGGTTCTTCTTTGAGAAAGGTGTTCTGGATGAGAGAGGTGAGCCCCGAACCCAGTCAAGGGAACGTGAGGAGGCAGGGCCAGGTTCCAACTCTGCAACCATCCCTGCTTTGCTAAACATATTAAAATCTGGTTTTGTCTTGTAGGCAACTTCCTAATTGCAAAGGAGAAATCTGTCAGTAAGATTGGCCATGGTACGTTCAATTGATCTTTTTGTTTTTTGAGAAGGATGGGCAAAAGGGAGGCAGTTCTTAGGCACTGGGATTTTTTCAGAGCCACCCTCTTTAGTCTCCTAAATCTAAACCTTCCTGAGAGCAGAAGTGGCTTTGTCCCTGTTCTGTTTCTCACTGTGCCCCAAACACTGCAAACCTCATGCAACTCCTTCCTTTGCAACCTCTCCCGTATTAAATTAATCTCAATTTCAGCTCATCAGTTCACTTTTTTCCTCATCTTTCCGTCACTGCCTCTGCAGATGTCTCTGTGCAGCTCCTCACTCTCTGCTGCCAAAGTTCTCAGCTATAAACCTTTCAAAACAAAACCCAAAGAACGCTTCCAGGAGGCTCTTTGGTTGCACATAGCACTGAGTTACTGGTGTGCAAAGGTTTGGACTTCAGCCCTCAGACCTCTTGGGGTCAGAGATTGCTTGAGCAACCTCCCACTGAACTGCTCCCACTGCACATGGCTCAGACTGTTTCCTGCTCTCTGCACAGTTCAGCTGTTTTCTTCCTTTCTCACTGCAGCATCTTTTCTTATCTCCTTCTGCTTTCAGTTTGTGCCCTATTACCTCTCTCCCAGCCCCCCACTTGGGTTTGAATCTCTTTTGTCTTCAAACAATACGTGGAAAATAAGAGCAGGATTCAGCTCATTCCCCTGAACTTTGTTCAGATTGAACGTCACTGAGCTTGGAAATGCAATACGGAGCTCTCTCAGCACCCCTGCGCAGAGCAGCCTCTGCTGGGCTCTGTTACATTGACTTTTCCTCTGGGAAGTGAAAACAATTCTGTCCCCTGCTGCCTCAGCACCTTCTCTCTGATTGATTCTCCATAATGAGTCTTTTTAATGGGATCTCTCCTCGTCCCTTGTTCAGTGGCAGTCCTTGCTGGGCCTGATCAGCAAGAGGGGGAGCTGCATCTCTTTTTGCTTTGCATTTCCGTATGTTCTGTGTAATATGCTTCATCACAACACTCACTTTTTTCACTCTTTAGTCTTCTAAAGAGGACTGTATTAACTCAGAAGGGCTGTGTCACCTCGGGCAGACATTAAGGTTGGAAAAGCCCTCTCAGATTCCCAAGCCCAATCCACCCACCATCCCCACTGGCCACGTCTTGTAGTGCTGCATCTCCACGGTTCTGGAACACCTCCAGGAATGGAGTGATGCTGATGATCTTCTCCTGGGGGTGGGGTGTGGAAGTTCCTGGCTGCTTGGCTGTGCTCTTTGCACCTCATTGCTGCCAGCCTCTGGGCTCCCTTCTGTTACTGAAACCTTCACCCTGAGCCTTGTCTTTCCCCTTAGCCTTGCACGCTCATGATCCTGTCTTCAAGCAGATCACTCACTCCTCTAAGGTGCAGGTAAGCTGAGCTGATAGAGCTGTCTGACAGAAAACCAAATGATGGGATGGTCAACTTGAGCATTCTGGACTCCTAAGTACAAAGTTTTCGAACGTAAAAGGACAGAATACCAATAGAAAATAGCGCTTTGTTGTGTGCAGGAAGCAGCAAATGTAAATTTTGGGAAGTTTCTTTCCAGGAACTGGGGAGAAAACTAGGCCTTGAGAGACCAGTGGTTGTGCAGAGCATGTACATCTTCAAGGTATGGCTGCGAGCCTTCCTGCCATGGCAGGAGTGAAGCCAGTGTGACTCCTCCTCACGTGTCTCCCTTCTCCTTGCAGCAACCCGGCATCGGTGGGGAAGGTGAGCTTCGTGTGTCTCTGTATTACAGCACAGGTAGTCCTTCAGGAAAGGATTGTGAGCAGGTAAAGCTGGCACAGGCTGCCCAGAGAGGTGGTGGTGCCCCGTCCCTGCAGATGCCTGAGATCACAGCTGGATGGGGCTGTGAGTGCTGATGTTGCTGTGTGTGTCCCTGTGGGCTGCAGGGAGATGGCCTTTAGTTGTCCCTGCTACCTCAAGCGATTCCATGGCACGATGGGTGGTCAGGGCAGGCTGAGGAGCACCATGTATGCCCCCACCTCACAGTGCTGGCCCCAGGCACACTGAGATTCTGACCCTGCTGCTTTTCATCACAGTGACACCACACCAGGATGCCACGTTCCTGCACACGGAGCCCCTGGGAAAGGTCCTGGGCTTCTGGATTGCACTGGAGGATGCCACCCAGGAGAATGGCTGCTTGTGGTTCATTCCTGGCTCCCACACCAGTAAGTTGTGGCCACTCCTCCAGCAGAGCTTAATATAGCAATATTTTCTTTTCTTTTTTTTTTTTTACTGTACATGGCTGACAGTGCTTAGTTTTAAATTGAAACCAGGGTTATAGGGTGAAGAGGCAGCCCTCCTGGTGCTGTATTTACTCCAGAACCTGTGAGGGTGAGGCCCATTGCAGTCACCCTGCATCTTTTGTGCTGTTTCAGAACATCACCCTGCAACACAGGCTCTTCTTTGCCAGGCTCTGAGATTCAGGTTCTTAATGCAATGAAGGTCTGGAACTACTGACCTCTTTCTTCTTGTGGTGATACGTGCCATTGCCACCTGTCGGTGCTCCTTCTGTACTTCTGACTGCAGCTTTGAAAAGGTTCATTGTCACCTGGACTGCAAACTGTAATTCTCCTTCTGCCCTCTGGAGTGAGAATGCACTAACAAACCATTGCTCTTTTTTTTTTTCCTGCTTGCAAAACTGCTTCTTTTCCAAGCTGCATCCCATTCACAAGGATGCTCTTTTCCCCCTATGCCCATGACCTCTTAACTCTTGACAATATTCTAACTTCCTCTTTCACCCCAACCACCACAGCATCATTTCTGCAGTCTCCTGCCTTTCTCTTCCTCTAGGACATACTATTTGACTTCCAATGCTGCTCACCTAAGCATTTACTCGGTAATTACAGCTCTCTTGATGTTTTAAATCACTCAGCCCTCATACACTTTGGAGTAGGTTGTGCTCTGACAGCAGATTATGCTGTCAGGAAGAAGACATGGATGACAGTTTGGTTTTGGGTTTTGCATGAGTGTTTGAGCATCGTGTTCCTACCAGGCTGCGTTGAGATGCACAGAGCCAGGAGGGGAAGCAGAACACAGCTGATTCTCACTTTCTGCTACAGCTGGAAAATCCCAAATCTTTGCATGCTGAAAAATCCCCGAATCACCAAGGAAAGAATCGAATACATTAGCAGCATTGTTCCTTTAAGTGCCAAAAGGAACCACAGAGTGTTTCTGGGCTTGCACAAAACAGAGCTGGCATTTTCATTTGTATGGATGTTTGCTTATCTGTGGACGTGCAGGTGGGATCACCCGCAGGATGGTGCGTGCAGCCCAAGGTGCCTCGACGTGTGTGGAATTTGTAGGGTCAGAGCCGGCCTACGATGACAGCAAGTTCGTACCTGTGCCCATAAGCAAAGGTAGAAGCACCTCAGAGAAGGGAAACACAATTGCATTTCAACAGCTGTACTTTCCTTATGTCAAATTTAGCACTCACGACTGGGAAAAAAAGCAGTCTGGGTGTTTCTTCCAAACAGGTGGGCTCATAGTCATCCATGGAGAAGTCGTCCATAAGAGTGAAATGAACAGCTCGGGGCTCTCTCGCCACGTGTACACCTTCCATGTGATGGAGGCCAAAGGCACCAACTGGAGCAAGGAGAACTGGTAGGGTTGCTGTGATTCTTAGACAAATGTTTCATGAAAGCTTTTAAGTTGTACCCTGGTGTATTTGCAGACTTCTTACAGTCATGTTCAATAAGCATATTGGAGGAAGGGAAAAATTCCATGCTTGGCAATCTTTGCTGTGCTTCTACTTTCCAAAATATGCAACCACGTGCCTTAGGGATTTCTTTCAGGATTTCTACTAAATTTAAAATAAAACAGCGAAGTGCCTGAAAGACAGAAGTGATGACTACAGGTGTAACTGGTGTTCAGCCTGAGGGGTTCTAAAATGCTGACTTCTCACTGTGTCAGGTCTTGCTGTTGTTTGAAACGCCCTTTGGGTGCAGCAGTATTGATTGCTGATTTAATGGCCCAGAACTGGAGTAGTCACTGCAGTTTTGTTTTTTGCTCTTCCTTACCACCTAGGCTCCAGCCAACTCCTGAACTGCCTTTTCCACCGCTCTATACTTGACATTCACGATTGGCTTCTGGAGTCAACTGGCTGGTTGGTGTTCCCATTATTGCTTGTCTGTGTTCTCTATAAGTGCAGTTCACTAGATCAATGCTCAAGATATAATTATCCACTGTGAGCAAGCTCCCTTCATGCAGCTGAATCTGCCTGCCTTCAGTAGAAGCATCTGCTGCAGGATGAGCCCTGCTCTGAGGATAGTAGCCCAGTCCTTTTGGTGAGGAAATCTCTTCTGTCTCCAGAACAGGCCATTAGGGAGTGTTCCACCTTGACCATGGCAATGGTTGAGAAGTGTTTCTTGTTGTAGAGCTGTAGTATTTTAAGTCGAGAGCTCATTTAGTGCTTGGCTCTGTTCATTGGCAGTGCAGGTGAATGTGTTGTGTGATGGTGGCAGCCTTGGGTCTCTGTCCTATTCTTTGGATAGTAATAAAGACAATGCTACTGTGGGCAAAATGAATCAGGGAGTCTACTTCTTTAATTAATTGCTCTTCTGGGTTTTTCTTGCAAATTGCAGCTGAACGTTTGATCTCTAGGCTTGATTAAAAATATCAACGTTCTTAAAGATGTCGAAAACATGAAAAGAACAACAAAACCCCTCGTGATACATCAATAAAAAATCATGAATCTTCATTTTAATCTCACCCCTTTTTTTTGAGGGTGTCACAGTGTGATCTCCTCCCAACACGTGGGGCTGCAGCTCAGCTCTGTGATGATCTGATTGAGGTGTGTGCACCACCATGACTGCCCAAACCCCAACAGAACCAAACCACAGCAAAACCTTAGGAACATTAAGTAACTTCAATTGCATCAGGGGCAAGCTCATGCCTGTGTGCTAAGCTGAACAGGACGCAGGTAGCATTTCTGAAGGAGTTGCAATAGATGGTATCTCTCCCAATGTACTCAGAAGGTCATAGATAGGGACAAAGAAGTGGGAGAGACTATAGGAATGAAATGCTGTCGTGGGTGCGATGTGATCACTTTCAAGCAGTCATGGAGTTGTGTTTGTAGCAGAGCTGTGGCTGAGTAACATACCCAGCTCAATCCAGCCAATTTGGGAGCATAAGTCAGGATGGAGTGAGGCACTCCAGCTCCTACGTAATATTCCACACTTATTTAAATTTACTTTTTGAATGCTTGATTAAATGGGTACTAAGTTTTATCTAGTTAAAATGAGACAAAACCAGAATGAACTTAACAATAAGTTGTTAGGGAAACAAGGCTCCAATTCTTAGTGATTCGTTCCTCTCAGAAATATATTACCCATCTCTAGTGTTGGTTTGATCATCTGATTTGTGAAATAGTAGAATTAAATTTATGGTAAGAAGAATTTTTATCCCTTTGGGCATTGCCTAGCAATGCAGAATATGTTCAATACGGCGCAGAGCTCAGGCTGTCACAGTGGGAATGAGGCTGGCGAACGGCAATAGCAGCAGCCTGGAGTTCAGTTCCTGCTGTGGTGCTCCTGGGATCTCTCCCTGTGCTTTTCCTATGGTTTGTTTCACAGTTGCAAGTGGGGATGGAGGGGGAAGTGACTTCTTGTAGTTTTGTGCTGTTTTGCAGCTTTGGAGGTGAAGGCTGTGGGTCGTAGTGGAACTTTTTCTGTATCTTTCCATTACTAGAGTTAATCTCTTAGAACAGTGCCTGCTGCTGAGCAATGATTGTCTGACCTCTGCTTATATGCACCATTATCTGCAACTTGCAAAATATCTAATTCATGTGGATGAACAGAAGCAAGAAGCTGGACTGAATTTGCAGGTTTTACAGTTCAGTGTGAAGGAAATGCAGCCTAGTCTGAATTGTTTTTTTGCAAACGTATCTGTCCCGTATTGCATTATTAACCAAAACAAACCCTGAACAACTTTGGCATGTTGGGAAAGGCAGGCTCAGGTGTGGAGTTGGGCCCAGGTGGGGGATGTTGGGCAATGCCACCTCCCTGCGGGTCCTGACTCGTTCCTGGGGCCTGATCTGTTGGCACAGAGCATCACTTCTGCTCCACCTGTGCTCCTAATAAGCAGTCAGGGCTGCAGGGGAGAATTGTGTAAGGTGTCTGGGGCAGCCCTACACCATTCCCAAAGTGTACTGTGGTGCCTTTTTGTGGGGAACATATTGTCAGAACGTAACTGCATCCTTCAAACCAGGATCCTGGAAAGCAAAGCTTCAGCTCCGGCAGTTCTTGGGGAAATGGAAGAAGCAGAGAAAGCACAGCACTTGGCAATAAGGGACTATCAATGCAGAAGGGCTTAATAGATTCTCCCCTGTGATTTTTTTTTTTTTTAATATGACAAAAATCAACTTGTGCTGTTTTAAAAACTACAGAAAAAAACAGACTGAAACAAAACTTTTATTTTAAATAGATTTTTTTTCCTTTGTTTTAAACAAAAGAAAAACACTGTTTGGATCATCTTTCATCTGTGATTGATGTGCATATATTCAGTTGCTGCTTTTCTCTAGAAGTGGAGAAACCTCTATTCTTGGAAGTGCTTTTAAACCATAAACATGATCTGGAGGTAGAGAGGTAACAACAAATTATCAATTTGGGTCGTGTAAGCTTCCAAAAGAGAAACTAAGCTCACAGACACCAGAATCCAGGCGTAGCTGGAGTTCAGGTTCACGCTGCTGTCAAAGATCAGAATAAGAGCCACAGCAATGATCTGAGCAAAAACTGCTGTCATTGTCCCTTCAAAGGTCTTCTTTGTGCCCGGCCATTTGATTTCCCCCATGGTACTGCCAAAAACAGAAGCCATGGTGTCTCCTACCCCTACCGCAAGCACCCCAGCGTAGGGCACCAGTGCTCCTGCCCCAGACAAGGCACCTTTAGGGGCACAAGATCTGGGGAACAACCACACTGGGAGGGACATGCCAAGAAGAAGGTAAATGTGAGTCAAGATTAGAGGCCCACTGTCTCTTTCATCCAAGAAGAGAGACAGCAAATAGCGAAGAGTCTGACCAAGCGGTTTGATCCTGAAGTACCGAATGTACTCTAAGAATATGAACACTGCCAGACACAGGACTGCAGCAACATAGAGAAGCTGGCGGTCATAAATTAGTCCAGGAACGTAAGTTGCTACAACAATGAAATGGAAATACTTCCTGGTTATGGTTGAGGCCTGGTGTTTTTTAGATTCAGACGATCTCTTGGCATTCTGGTAGAAAACTATGCCACACGCTGAAGCAGCCAAAAAAGTCCAATATATGAGCAGGTAAACCCTCGTCTGTGTCTGAAACAAAAACTGGAGCAGCCAAAACAAAGGGTTCCTCCGGATCAGTCGATAAAGCCAAGGCATGATGACCCCTAAGCCTAGCACTGCTGTCATCATGTGGAAAAACATGGAGGAGATCCACGTACCCGAATCCATGAAAATGAAGAGAACAGTGAAAAAAAGCCCAAGAATAATAACTCCAATAACTGCCACCAGAAGGAAGAAGTCTATGGGTTCACCTCTGCCCTCGATTACATTCAGTGAGCGTTTAATGAGCTGATTGAGAACAAAACTTATACCTCCGAGAACTAGCAATGCTTCTCCAGGAGTAAAACATCGAGGCAGCAGGTAGAGCAAGATCATACTGAGGTAGACAAAAATTAGCAGCACTTCTAGGACCTCTATCACTTCTGAAACAGTCAAAGAGTGCTTCATGGTATAGATAATTATACTGCCAGCAACACCAGTGAGTATGCAAGTGTTGGTGGGCACAGGTTTTGTGATGCCAACGGCAATCACAGACAAAAATAGAGCAACCAACATGCCAGTGGAAGCTACAACTATGCCAAAGCGTTCAAAGTACACGATACCAGCAGCCTTGCACCTCTCCTTCATTGCTATCCCCAGCAAGGGGATGACCATGCTGGCAGGCAGGAGCCCACTGTTTGCTGTGCTGCGGAACTGGAACACAGCCCCCCCCTGCTGCAGCAGGCGGTCCCATTTGAACTGGACATAGAAAGCCTGGATGGCAAGAGCTACAGCACACCAGGAGTAGCGGTCCCACACCACTGCATGCACGCACAGAACGATGCTGAAGACGATCAGGGATTCCACCAGCACTGGTTTGTTTAACATGGTTCCAGTCCAACGCGGCTTTGGCTTTCAAGATCTTTGTTATGGGTCCTGATCTTCTCAGTAGTTGTCCACTAGAAGGAATTCTCTTTCACACTACTGTGATTCCTATTGAAAACAAACAAATGATGAAAGCAATTATTGGAAAACCAGAAAAACTGAAGCTTGCTTGCAGCTGTTTTGTTCGTAAGCTCAAATTAGACTGATGTTATATGCCAACTATTAATCAGAGATAAGAAGGGATCAGCCAAAACCGTTATCCCCACTTGAGAATCCAAGCTGAGCTGGCAGAAGCCAACTGCTCAGTATGTGGGTATTCAGATACTGCAACAGAAATACTTTAAATTTCATTTTTGACTTGAAATATGAAGCAAACAAGCCACAACTATTCCCAGATGGCTTCACTGCAGCAAGCTGCCAGCTGGGCTACAGGACATGGAGCAATTTCACCACCTGTGATGCAGATCTTCTGTTCCAGCTTTCAAAATCTGCTGACGTTCAGATTTGCAACACAAGGTATTTCACTTCTGCATTACTTTCTGGTCCCTGCCAGATAACCCTGCTGGTGCCTAAGGGGCAGGACAGAGGGGAAAGGCTCCTCAGTGCAGTGTACTGCTGGGCAATCGGCTAATGGCTTTAAACTAAAGCACGGCAGATTTCGAAGAAACCGTTAATAATGAGGGCGGCGAGGCCCTGGGAGCTGTGGATGCCCCAACCTGGCAGCGCTCAGAGCCGCGCTGGATGGGGCTTTGGACAGGGCGGCAGGGGCCCGGCTGCTCTGGGCTGGGAACCTTCCTCGCCGCCCTCCGCCGTCCCCCAGACCCCGCTAGGCCCTGACAGGAGGCACTGCCCAAGGCTCTCCAACGGGCCGCGCCCTTCCCGCTGCCGCCCGCTCCCCGCGGCGCTCACCTACCTGGCAGGACGCCGCCATCTTGGCGCTGCCGCCCGTCACATGACCCAGCGAAACGGGGAGGGGAGGGAGCGGAGGCGGAGCGGCCGCACCACGTGACGCCGGCGGGGCGCCGCGCTCGGCTTCGCGGGTC